CTTGAATTTGTTGGTGCTTGTAACTGTTTGCTTTGCTTACTGCTTTTCAAAGGATGGTCCATTGTGATGCACCTTAAATGTCACCACTGGTACAATCCCTTTTTTAATTATGTGGAAGATAAAGTGTGTATCTACATTGATTTGTTATACATGCAAAGCACATATCTAGTGGCTTTTTTCTTTATTCTCCCACTTCAGTTATTTAGTTACATTCAGATTTGGAGATTCTTGAACAGATTTCAGCCTCTTGATGCCCAAGAAAAGAAACAATGTTGGGAGAGCTTTAGATTGTAGCCACTTCCCATTTGGGTTTTGTAGAAAGCTTTCACATTTATTCTAAGACCAACGAATGTAGAACCACTGTTTTCTCCAGTTGCAAAGTCAGCGAAAGAACCACATTACTAAACTGAAGAAGGTTACCAAGTCACAAGCCAACTAGAAAGTAAGGAGGTCATACAGGCAGGTCTTCCACAGGATCAGGACCCCAAGGGATGGGAAGACCTGCTACCAAGACCAACTGAGCAATTAGAAGCTGGTTGTTCTGCTGCTGGAAAGACATGCTTTGGAGGCCCAGGATTGAGGAGTGACCCAGGCCTGAGGTAAAAAATAGTGAAAAGGGTTTCTTGGGGGTCACAGAGAAGTTGGGGATCAACTACAAGGGCAGGACAATGGCTTTCAAGCAGGCCCTCCCTTCCCAGTACAATGTCCCCTCTGTCAGATACAGAGGGTAGTCAATTTGTGGAATTCTTTACCACAGAGGGCTGTCAAGGCTACGTTATTAAGCATAGTCAAGCCTGAGATAGACAATTTTTTTTAAATAGTAAGTGAATCAAGCGTTACAGGAAAAAAATGCAGGGAAGTGATGTTGAGGATTATCAGATCAGTCATGATCTCACTGAACAGCAGAAGAGACTCAATTGGGTGAATGGCTCCTGTGTCTTACGGTCTTAGGTGTTGTCAATCATTTTAAAGGCTGCAGTCAGAATAAGGAGGGAGAGATCAGGTATAGAATGAAACAGAGGGGAAGAAAGATTGGATGACGATCTGGAGAGGAATAAAAAGAAACAATTAAGTAAGCTATTATTTAAAAATCTGGTACAAATGAATGAGAGGTATATAGTGATATTATAGAAGTAATATTAAATTGTAGAATTACCTGCTTCGATGGTTCCATAATATATCAGAAAGTGGCCTGGCTAGTGGGGGAGTAGGCCATCCAGGTATGTGATACCATCCCCCATATAACTAATGTAAATAAGCGCAGGCTACACCTCAACCTTCAACTGAACAGTCATTCGAACTGTATTTTCATACAGTCCTTAGTTATACATTCAGTAAAAGTATCTCCGAAGAATGCTTTTTTTAAAAACCATTTTTACAGAGGCTTTGAGTTCCACATTTCAAGATGTCTTCATAGCATATCTTCAACTCACTCAAGAGAGTGCTACAGACAAGCAACATGGAGGAGACTTGGTACAAGTTAGGACATGACCAGCAGAAGATTTGACGTTCTCAAGTCTACCAGATTTACTTATTCTGTGCAATTTGCCAACCATAAAAATTCCCTTCAATCAAGGGAGTAGCTAGCAGCATGGCAACAAAGAAAGAATGTGAAGTTAAAAAAAACTGAAAAGGTAAAACAGCAGGGAAAAAAGCATTAAGTATGTACACAGTAGAATTGCAAACTAAAATATTAATAGAAGTATCAAAGTGAACAAAGTGGGTTCCTCCTGTGGTTACCTGGACAATTGCTTGCTACAGAAACTGACCTTCACTGTGATAGACTGAACATGGCAAATAGCCAATTACGCCTGCAAGTCTTCATAAAACAAGGTCAGAACCTCTCAGGTGAGCCCAGCTCTCTTTGCTCATTGAAACAAAAGTGGAATATGTGGTTGTAGATCTGAAATGACAACAGAAAGTGCTGGAGAAACTCAGCAGTGAGTGCAACATTGTGTATGGAGATGGGCAGAGTTAGCATTGAGTCCAATATGATTCTCCTTCCAAAGAATCATAACTGTCTCCACGCCTTGATTGTCAACCTCGACCAGAAGTTGTCTTTGTTGTGATACACTCTACCCAAGATAGTATTTGGTGTGAATCATGTACTTTCTAGACCCAAATTCTCCTATCTTGCCCTTATCTACTCCTACTCCAATGTTAAATATCCACCTGTAGCCACGCACTTAAACTGGAAGTTCATTTTTACCATTCACTTGTCTCTTGTGGTGAAACGTCTGTAAAATATTCACTTCTATATGTTGCAATGCAGCTAAGAAACACTGCACAAATTTTCATTAGTGACTCTCAACAAAACTTAAAAGTAAACATCAGACTTTTTACATGTTTTCATTCTTGCCCAGATCTATTTAAAAGACAAATGGTTTTAAAAAGCAGATGATTTTAAAAAAAAAGTTAAGGGTAATCACGAAGGAGGAAAGCAATACCAAATCACTCTGAACTTGGAAATGTAAAGACAAGACTATTTTAACTTCCAGACCTAAACTCTTTGGCCCAATGTAGTCAATTGCTCACCTAAAAATTGTTCAGGATGCAGCTGGTCCTCGGGACAGGATATTCATATTTAAGTTGCAAGAAGTCACTAGACAAGGAATGGCTACGAACACTTCAGATTTCGGGGTTTGGGGAGCCTGGTGTAGCAGAGGGTTAATTATCCTTATGGAGCCTGTACATGAGCAATCCTGGCTCCAAAGGTTCCTTTTTAAATTTACCTGTTTGGAACTCTTCCAGTCCCAGATCTTTTTCCTCCTAAGTTGCCCATGCCCTTTTGATGGAAGAGTGCTTTTACATGGAAGACAAAGGACATCAGGAGAGAGATTTGTAAATTTTCCAAATAGATTTAACTGCTTGCTTATTATGCAATCATTTATGCATATATATGCACTGGGACAGGCCCTATTGATACCAATGTAATTTTCTGAGAAGAAAATAATAATCTGTTAGGGGTATTGCAATTACACTTGTAACATAACCGTGTATTCATACCTTTCATTAATTCATCTTAATCAAATAAATGATACCATGTATAAGAACTAATTGCCAGCAGTTTTTCTTAAAGAAATGGATTCTAATTACAGAATCTCTAGGGGTTTTCTCTGAAGAACAAACTTAACTGAAGAGTAAGTTTCAACAGAAAATTTTTAAACTAAATTGCACAATAAGCATACTGGGATTCACACTAGAGGTGCTTCCAACATCATTGCAGCCTGTTCGTAATTATTTATACATGAATCTTACCTTTCAGTTTACTGCCCATGTTTCTTTTAGATTTAGGACTGGCAAAATTAATTATACTGTCCTTGAATGATAAACTACTGTCCTACAATTTTTTTGTCATCTTTATAACCAACAGTTTTTTTGAAGAGAACAGTAACTAATGTTAGTAGTGTGTAAAAAGACCAATCTCATCAGCGTTAGGTCATATATCTTCAGCTAGTCCTTTTGAATAGAAATGATTAACTTCCTACCTTCAAAAAGGTGTAGCGCCATTAATCTCACCATTTCTGCATCAGCTTTTATGTGAAGTGCCAGGCTTCGAAGAAAGAGAAATGCTGTATGCCTTTTTTGTGAACCAGAACAAATTCCAAACTTAGCCATATGATTGTCACTGTACAAAACCACATCTTCAATAAACCTATGTTCATATCCAGTAATGGCACCAAACACTTCAAGATAATTAAAGCTTTCTTCATCTCTTTGTAGCCTACATACCGGATCTTTAAAAGCGTGTGGATTTTTCTGATTAGAGATTGTGTACAAATCTTGACTTCTGTTAGCAAATGGAGATTCTCTTTGTGCCTCGTTAGGGGAGGATATGTTCATGGTAACCTTATCACCTTCATATGATGACTGTAATAGTTTTGCTGCTGTTCCTTGTGCAAAAAGTAATTTTGTATTACACACAGATTCGCTGTCCACGGAGCAGTTTTTTTGCGTTTCTGCTGAATGGAGATCAGGAATTTTTTTTGGTTGGTTGACGGCTGATTCCTCCACATTTTGAGGTTCTTTCCTGATGTTCTGTTCTACAGGAAGAGCGTGAATTAGTAAAATGGATAAGTGAAAAACCACAAAAATTGAACCAGCTTCCATGATTGATCTGGCTTTGTTGAAGACTGAAGAATGTAGCGCAAGTGTCGGCTTTGTCTTTGTCTTTGTGGAGATAAGCCTTGTTGATTGTGTTACATTAAAGCTGGTGAAGGAGTGTTTAGTAGATATTTTTAGAACAAAAGCAGACCTTGTATTTTCTTTCACGGATATCGTACAATGGAAAACGTGCCAGAAAACTCTGGATCAACATTCCTTTTTAAGCTACAGCATTAGCTGCACAGGAATTCTGTTACATTGAAAAGGTGGGGTGAACAAGGAAATTATACTTGGATTTGAAAATAATATAGGTAATAACATCATTACTTAATACTTAAGGGGGACATGGGACCCAGTAACATTCATTTCAAGATAATGCTAGAGATCAAAACTAAGGTTACCAGAATCACACAGTAATACCTAACAATATCCGCCAACATCTGAATTCAAGATTTTCAGCAAAAAAACTCGAAGGCAGAAAAAAATAGAAATTAAGGAAAAATCACAATTGACAAATTTAAAATAATTCTTTGAGGAGGCAACAAGCAGAATAAAAGAAGCAGTTGATGTTACATGCTTGGATTTTTAGAGCACATTCCATAAGGCATCACATATTAAGCTAAACAGCCCGGGCTATTGGAGATAGAACATTAGCATGGATAGATGTTTGGTTAACTAATAGAAGACAGAGTTGGAATAAGGGGGCATCTTCAGGATAGCAACCTGTAACTTATGGAGAGCCACAGGGATCAGTGCTGAGGCCAGTTATTTACAATATATACCAATTACTTATACGAGGAAAGTAAATGTACTATTGACAGTATTTTGCAGTTGACAAAAAAATAGGTGACAAGGTAACTGGTGAGTCTGCAGAGCGATTTAAACAGGTTACGCAGATGGGCAAAAACTTGGAAGGTGGAATATCTTATGAGTTAATGCACCTTGGCAGGAAGAATAGAGGAAATGAATACTTTATAATTGGAGAAAGACTGCAGAAAGCTCCAGAACATTGGGGTTTGGATGTCCTCATCCATGAGGCACAAGAAGTTCAGTGATAGGAAAGTTAAATGGAACATAGGCCTTTATTTCAAATGGAATGGTATATGAAACAAAACTTATCAAAACCATTTGTCAGCCCACAGCTGGAATACTATGAACATTGTTGGCCTTATCTCTGAGGAAAGGCATACCAGCATTGGAGGCAGTCCACATAAGATTCATTTTGCTAACACCAAGTATGAAGAGACTGTCTTATGAGGAGATAGAGTGGGTTGGGCTGTACTCATTGGAATTTAGAAGAATGACTGGTAACCCTATTGAAACAGACAAGATTCTTAAGGGACTCCTCAGTTTAGATGCAGAAAGGTTGTTGCCCCTTGTGGGAGAGTCCGAGGACCTGACAGCATAATCTCAGAATAAGGGATTGCATATTTTGAATTTCTTCTCTCAGGGGATATGAATCTGTGAAATTTTTTACCGCACCGGGCTGTAGAGGCAAGGTCATTAAGTATATTCAAAGCTGAGATAAACAGATTTTTAATCAGTTAGGAAATCAAGGGTTTAGGGAAAAGCAAAAAAGTTGAATTGAAGATTGTCAGATCAACAGATCAACCATGATCTCATTGAATTGCAGAGTACGCCTGGCAGGCTGAATGGCCAATATCTGTTCCTACACCTATGGACTTTGGCTGTACTATTTCCCAGTACTACTCCAGTCTTAACTAATTCCCCATCACTAACTGGTTTGCACTTAAAAAAGCTCCTTTTGCAGCTTCATAAACAGTGGCAATCTTCTCAGAATAAATTTTGAGCTTTCCCCATCAGCCATCTCTGCAACAGCAGTGTCCAACAATAAACGGGCTATAACCTTTCAAACAAGATAAATAAGGTGTCCACCTATTGCTTATCAAACTCAAGGGTAAAATTGCCAAACTTGAATACTTTAGCCCTCACGTCTGAGTCAGGTGTGGTTTGCTCATCAGATTGGCTCTCAGTCTTCCTTCTCCGTTCAAGATGCATCAATTTAAACTGGTTTCCACTTTCACTTCTTTTCTCTTTTTCCTGTAATTATTTCCTATTTCTTGATTCGCTTTGGTTTATTATTGTCACATGTACCTAGGTACAGTGAAAAATTTTGTTTTGCATGCAGTACAGGCAGATCATACCATTCAAAGTGCATTAGGTCAATAGAACAGAACGAAGAATACAATATTACAGCTGCAGGGAAGGCGCACAAAGAGCAAGATTAACATTTAAATTTAAAAGGTCCATTCAGAAGTCTGCTAATAGCAGAGATAAGGCTGCTGTCGAATCTGTTGGTATGGGTGTTTAACCTTTTGTACCTTCTGGCCATTAGAAAGAGGTTGGAAGAGATTGAAACCGGGGTGGGAGGAGTCTTTGATTATGTTGGCGGCCTTTCTGAGGCAGCAAGAAGTACAAACAGAGTCAATGGATGGAAGGTTGGCTCGCATGATGGAATAGGCTGTGTTCATAACGCTCTGTAGTTCCTTACGGTCCTGGGCAGAGTAACTGCCATACCGAGCTGTAATGCGCCCGGATAGAATGCTTTCTACGGTGCATCTACGAAAATTGATAAGAGTCTTGATGGACATGCCAAATTTCTTTAGCCTTCTGAGGAAGTAGTGGTGTTGTGCTTTCTTGATCATAGCATCGACGTGGGTGGACCAGGACAGATTACTGGTGATCACCACTCCTAGGAACTTGACTCTCTCGACCATATGCTGTTCTTTTAGCTGATCCAATTTTATCTGTTTCATTGCCTTTAGCTTCTAGCTGTAGCTATTTTGCCACTTGTTTTGCAAGTTCTGTTCCACTGGCTTTCGGGTGAAACCTCACCTCAAATTGCCCTTTAAATCTTCCAAGGAACAGGGCTTGCAGCTTTTCACAAATTATTTCATTCTTCTGTATGAAAGCAATAACATTAACTGTGGACAGCTTTGTATTTTTAAATGGTAGAAACTCACGAAAACCTTTTCTCCTTATAGTGCTTTTCTCATAACAATTTTTGAATAATTTGTTTCTCCACTGTGCTGTTAGTGTTTGCATGTAGGAAACAAAAAATGAGACATTAAACATGCACACACTGGTAATAAGCTTGAAAAGGAGAGAAGGTGTCTAATACAGACAGGAAGGTAAAGGTAACTGGAATTTAAATTTCTTGAAGTTCTCGAGAACTGAGAATACCCAAGTCCTGACGTTCAGCTGTGTTTCCTTTCTTCAACAGCGACAATATTTGCAGATATCAAGTTCTCAATGACTGGCTGTTTTAGCCATTTTATTTGGGAATTTTTTTCAAAAATTAATATATTAAAGTTCTAGTTGAGCAGTAAAAATTAAATTGTACTAGTTGAATGTAATGTGAATGTTAAAAAAAAGGCCCACATTTAAAAACGTTGGAAAATGTCTTTAATGGAAAATGAAGTACAGGAAAGTACCATACAATTGAAAGAAATACGGCTACACCAAAATTACAAAGGAAGTTATTTTCTACAAAATTTGCCTTATGTTGAAAACACAAAATTCTCTGAAACAAAGGTCAATTAGTAGGAGGAGGAGGAGGAACACCTGGTGGTGGTAGAGGTGTAGGAGGTGCAGATACTGGCGCAGAATCACTGGGCAGTGGAGGCCTAATCATAGGTGGAACTGAAGCAGGGGGAGGCCCCTGTGGAGTTGGTGGGAGGCCTTGTGGCGCTGGTGGTGGGAGGCCTTGC